AAGACGAAAAGTGCAAACAGTGTGAAGGTGTAACAGAAATGCCCTCAGCGAGGGAGTGAAAAGAGTGAGTTAGGAGAGATGAATGTGAAGAAAGGCACATAAAGAAATACAGCATGAAAAATCAATTGAAAAAAAAAAAAAAAACGTTTTTTTTTTTACTATTTTCAAGAACATTTATCTTTTAGACAGACATGGCGATGTCGTTGCATTAGGCTACAGTGACTTCAACTTTCAACTGTCTTCGAAGAAACCTTTTCATTTTCGCCTTTTTAAAAACAAATGATCAACTGGACCTCTCCAGCTAAGTGAAAAATCTAGTGATTAAAACGAAGATATAAGTTAGAAGATAACATGTTTCGAGTTACGGTAAAAGCTTCAAAAAATTACTTTCACCTGCAAATAAAGATGTTGCACTTTTTTCGCTATAGTCACGACGAGTAGGGACAGTACCTTTATTCAGACGCTTATAAGTCGGCCTGTTCAAATCAACGGCTGTGTTAACATTTCAAATTTTTAAAAGATTATGCATTTAAGTGACTTTAATACTGCAGAATAATGAAAAACAATTTCTAAAATCCAAATCAGCAAAAAAATCACTGATACAGGCACAGAGTTTATGATTAATATCAAAGCTAATTAAATTCTTTGATGTCACAGAATCATTTTCAGGACGAGTTGCAATACTATATGATGCCAGTCCTTCACGGTTGCGCTAGGGTTTCAAAATTCACGATTGCTGTAAGCCACTACTCACGAAAGCTAAACTTTCAACACTGCCATAATACTGCCATAATTTGGAGCCTATTGCCGGGAATGGTCAGATAAGAAATATGAAGAGGTGCGCTTAGAACATTAGTTATAGTCTGAAATGAGTTGGTATTGTCTAGAATGAACTGCTCCGTTTTCTTTTCTCCATAAAGATTTACCGGCAGAATCTTCGTAAAGTGCAAAAACAAACACTACAAGAATGGAATATAAAGCTTATTATTATATATAAGAAGGCTGTTTTGAAATGACGGCTTCATATATGGTTGGAGGAAGGCCGCCGAAAAGTCCCTCCCTCCACGCAAGTTGCGATGAGAGTGTACTTTGATGTTGTTGGGGCTTGCTGCAGTTGAGAAAGCACGTTGACGGCGCGTCACACTTCGACTATGAAGTCCTTCTGTGTCGTTGAAAATTTGTACCACGAAGTAAGAGATTGATAATTAGCAGTGAGACACTGCGGATGGATTAAACTTTTCGCGACAATAGGAAGGCAGAAGAATCAGTGAGAAGTACGGCATGGTGGTAAAAGACGGTTGGAATCAAAGACGTCACGTCATGGCTACGAAAAACACCGTAATTTGAGGTAAGTCACGAAGTAGTTGTTACAGAAAGTGTTTAAATACTCAAGTTTGAAGTAAAACAGGTTGCCCTGAACAAACTCTCATGATGTGGAGAAAAACGGTTCTTGTTTAACCCCACAGAAATGAGTCGCTTCAGGAGATGCGAGGCGTGGAATGTCAGACAAAGGGTGGTGGTGGTCAACTTCAAATTCTGCAGCTCTTATAAATTATTAATGCTAGTAAAAGGCAGAATAGTCCTTTTACTAAATGGCTTTTCTTGCGTTAAAAGATACCATTGAAAGCCTACGAGGCATTGCCTTATCTCTATGAGAGATCAAAACTGTTATGATTGTTATATCTTTTTTTTTTAAAATTTAGTTCTCACTTAGAAGCTGGTAAATTAGTATGTTTTTGAAGCCAACAAAGCGGTACTGCGGTAACTGCAGGCTAAGACTACTTAATGACTTTTCTGATTTTACTTTTCCGTTAGCATTTTTAGTTTTTACTGATCATTGTTTTCATTTATAGTAGTTTCATTTGCATTGGCAGTGTTACTTTTTCTATTACAGTGAAACTATAGGCCATTGGAAGGGCGAGAAAAGGGGTTAAGTTTAATGAAAGGGACTGAGGAAGGCTGATTCCTTGACGGCTTTTAGGTATTTGTTAATGTGATTGGCTTTTTTGGATTAAATGTCAGCTAACTCTCCAGTTTTGCTAAACCTTTACTGGGATATGAAAGACAACAATTATTAGCAAATTTCCTGTAACTCTGATGTTTCAGCTACTGCTAACATTCAGCAGCTCTTTCCCTTAAGCACCCAGCCTTAAGGACCCATGCTGATATAACGCTTGATCGTGATACATTGGTGAAAAGATTCAGTTATGAGGTCTGGTTTTGGTCCCATTTTGATCAAATTCTTTTCATTACGGCTTACTTCTTATACTTCTTCCCTCGAATGCGTATCAGCACTAACTGTTCTGAAACCGTCTTCCTCGTTTAATTTTCATGATAACTTTTTGACCTTGTTTCCATATACATGCTTTCCATGCAGAAGCTCCATCAGTTCATCACGTTACTGGTGCTTCTCTCCGCTTCAATGTCTTCTGCCATCTGGTGTATGCTATCATAAAAATTATAGTGTATCTTTCTAGAAGATTTTAAGACTACAAAGTTTCTATTTATAAAATCAGTCACTACTTGATTCCAGAATGAACAGCCAATCAGTACTTCATACAGCTACAACTTCAATTACAAGAATACTTCATGAGGGTCTGCGAATTCCTGTAAGAATGGGCTCATCGCATGCAAACAAGATCTTAAACATGCAAAACCTCAATCCAAACTTCTTGATTGTGGAATATGCTGTTAGAGGTCCAATGGTTATTTGTGCTGTTGAACTAGAGAAGAAACTTGCTAAAATCTGGTCTTTGTTTTGTAATTCTAAAAAAGATGACTTGCTAATTCTGTTAGAGAATTATGACAAACGATGTCATTTTTTGCAGAGAGTTAGGAAACCATTTAAAAACGTAATAAAAGCAAATATTAGGGATGCCCTTGCTACGGAACAAAAGCCCATCACTTTTTTTCGAGAGGTACATCTTTCTTAAGTTCCTTATTGGCGTATTTCTTCCATGCTTAGTTCGCTGTAATTATTCGCTTTTCTTTCACGACGCTGTTTCAGGTCTTATCTGCCTGCCTAATTCGTTGTTGATGGATAAAATACTTATGCTGGTGATGTCGTCGACCATGCAAGGACTATTCTAGGTGACCGCGGTGGACACAGCGTTGGTTAATTTGCTGTTTCTTCTGTTCCGCAGTTTTCTCCAGTGGATTTCTTTTTCTCCGAACCAGATTATCTTAAGCATTTTCGCTGATTTCAAAAACTTCCGTAAGTTTCATTTTTACCTTGTAAATTGGAACGTTATTTCATTTGTCAATACAATATCAGTTTTTACTTTCTAGTTAAAATATGGGCATCGATATAATCCTGAAACATGTTGCCTATTGAATAAAGCTACGTGATAGAAGTATCTCGTCTGACCCAGAAATTATAATTACTTTTTGGCTGAGCATCAGAAAGCATTAGAGCGAGTTTTCATGTCGCAATCCACATTGCCTAATAAGACCTGAATTTCTTTTTTTTTTTTCAAAACTTAACTCTTAATTCTCAGCAATCAAACTTTTTTTTTTAAATCTACCTTTACATAAGCCATCTAAGAACGTCTTAAAACTGTCCATTAATGGCAAAACATCAAAACCGGCTGGTATAATGATTCCCATCCCACAGTACCTTTTGTATTCTGCTACTGTAAAGGAGTATGAACTTGGACAGATATATTCAAGCTTATCTTTACTTTATTTTTTTTCTATGGTTTAGGATTCCAAATTAATTTTTTAGGGGATTATTGGTTTAGTTTCCTGACGGTTCTAGTCGCCACCCGGTCAGCTTCTAAGCAGTCAAAGTTTAAAATCTCACTTGTCGCTTTAGGTAAGATACTACTTAGACGAAGACAGCGGTTGGGGGCTCGAAGCTAAAGAATTAGAAAGTGCATTGAAAGAACATCAACACAGACAGACGTGCTAGGTCTATGTGTTATTAATCCAGAAAATCCAACAGGTATTAAAATATGCACTTTTGGATATATTTCTGTAGAGTGCGGAGCCATCCGTATGGTGAAAATAAAACGTCTGGTGACAGTTTTACTCATTTTAGGCCAAGTTTTATCGAAAAAAAAAAAACATTGAACAAATCGTGAAGTTTGCTTCCGGGCGCAAACTTTTCCTTATGACAGACGCGGTTTACAGTTTTCTTCGCCAGTCAGTCAGTAACTGTCCCTTTTTTGAAAATAATTAAGACTTTATTACTTTGTTTTTGATATCCAACGGTTTTTATTTCCAGTCGTTAACTGTTGTCATTTTGCCAGTTCCCATACTTCTTGACATTTAAGGTATAGCAGGACAACATTTATGGAGAGGGTTTGCGCATTCCAGTTTTAAAAAATTAATGTCCAGCATAAGTGTACCTCATTTGGAGTAGTTTTTGAAAATCATTTAATATAAGCGCTTTTTTATGAAGGCAAGTGTTGTTCAGTTTGAAAAGAAGATATCGGCTAAATTTTCTTCTACTTTGCTAGATCAAAATAGTTTCTTCCGCCAACTGAACATCTTCCTGGAAGGTTAAAACCCTTTCGGAATACTCGATTAAGCAATTTCTGGCTTTTCTGCTGCTTTTCGACGCTATCGCACTTGTGCGTCTCTTTTTTTCTTTTACATAGGCGATTGCTGCCTGCGTTGTTAACCTACCAAGAAAAGGTGATCTGTCTTATGACCACTGAATTGACGACCATGGCAAAGCCATGGTCCTCAAAAGGGAAAAGACAGTTTTTGTTTTTCACGTGTGAATCAAATCGGATTTTGGCGGCTCACAAATTACATTTCCAGAAGAAAAATGCCATCTTGGACCGATGAAAGACCGTACCAAACTGGTTCAAGAAACTTACAGCCCAGTAGAAAGGATAGAATGCAACCCAGTCCAAGGGGCAATGTGTGCCTTTTCAAGAATCACGCTACCACCAAAGGCGATACAGGAAGCAAAAAATGACTGACCTTTCTTAGTTAATGAACTACTTGGGAATAATCAAACTACCTGCTGCAGATTACGTACCAAATTGTTCTAGAACATGCGTAAGCCTGCTGACACCTAATACGCAATGGAATTGTTGAAATCAGCCGGGACTCGCATCGTTCCTGGAAGTGGAATTGGTCAAAAACCTGCTACTTACCACTTCAAATAACTCTGTTGTTCTTGTAGTGTAAGCCCCGACAGTACCAGATTTTTTCAAAACAACGACACTCCTTCAGCCAGCTGTTACGAAAGACATGTTGGAACGCTTCACTGCATTCAACACGAAGTTTGTCCGAGAGCCTAATGACGACTAGTAGCCCAGTCCTGCAGTATGCAGCACTGACCAGCGATAGGCGGCCAACAAAAGCCGTCCCAGCATTTCAAGAGTTTCTTGACATCTCAACTCAATAACATATTAGTTCCTTTGTTTATGACCAAATCCAATAAAATTTCCTAACCGGCTGGAGCCAATGACCATTGGACCGCAACTTGAACTGCCAAGTTTATTCGTAAAGCAAAAGTACAAACGCAACTCCGCCACTCCCTCCAGAAAGAACAACGAAAAAATAGCACCCCATCTTCGCAAAAGTACATTTTCTGGTCACAGAATAGAACGAGCGGCAGCTAATAAACCGTATGGGAACTCTGCTACCAACAAGCAATCGGGTGTTACCCCCCCAACTAGACCGAGTGAAACAGCCATGAGGCCTGGTCTCCCGTCGTATTCAAACCTCAAGCCCTCTGTGATGCGGAATTCTTCGAACAACTGTTGGTAGGGAGATCTATAGCGGCCAACCTACCTGCAGGATAACATGAGACGAGTGTAAACAACAGAAAATTGGTTAAAGCATCGCGCTCAAAAAAACTCACACTCGCCTGGAAAATCAACTACACAAAAAAAGCAATTTCATTGGCCAAACTCAGGCTCAAGCGAAAGGATCAAAGCGAACATTATGAATCTGCTTGACTTCCGCCAAACGTTACCTGCGTGAGAACAGAATTCTAGAGCATAATTTAAGCAGAAGAAAAAAATTTCCAGCACAGGACAATGGGAATCACATGAATGAAAAAGAACGACATCACAAAGATTCAGAGCAGGGCGCAAAACTTAGAAACCCGTTTTGAGAAAAATTTAATAACGGATGAGAAAATAGACTTTTGAGTGCTAAATAATCCACAGGTCTTTTAACTGAAGAAGCAATGCGCCATTCATACAGAGTATGGGCAGTGGCTTCACGTGGTTTGGGATGTTAACTTTTGAACGAGATTTTCTAATCTGGCTGCTTTGCTCTTTTTGTTTCGCCTTGCGTTCGCTGCTGAAACTCTCGGAGATATCGGTGGCTGCTCGTTAGGACGTGATGGACCACTGTGGCTTGAACTCGCAATTACGAAAGGCTGAATATTTGCTAAATTTGAAGTCTCAGTAAAAAAATTGAACTAGTTAGAAAACCCGGCAAGCACAAACCGTAAAATCTCGTTCCAAACGAAGCGGTTTTGGGAAGTAAATGAAGTTGTGTGAACCTGTATTAACATAATAATAATTCCTTGATGGTATTTTTTCAAAATACCGCGAATTTCTTCCTGTCTGTTGGAACTCGTAAAAATAAACATCCTAAACGACTCTGTTGAAAAACAATAAATTTACATCCAAATGAAACTAATTCTAAGTAGAATTAGAGCTATTAGAAGAATTTATGGGGCACAAACGCATGGATCCTTACTGCTTCATTGTAGTGAGGCATCTTAGGGCGGCCTAGACAGTAAATTCGCGGCTCCAAAGCCAAACAGCGACCGACAACGGCATCTAGCGGCAAGGTGTCGAACATTGAAGTGGCAAACAACTTAAAAATTTAGCGGTGTTAAGCTACAGTTAAGAAAGAGAGCCTTAAAAAAACAAAATTGTTGTCACCTCATTTTTGTGAAACACTCGCCCAGGCTCACAATAAACTTCGTGAGGTCTTGCATAGTGTGACCCAAAAACAAATTTATGTCCTTCAGGTGAAATAAACAAACGCTCGACGCGAAAACAACGAAGATCTCGACGAGAAAAGGAAGCACTTTGAAACGCCAACTCCACTGGTTTTTGTGTAAAAGGGAGCAGAGAAGCAGTTTCAGAAGAATTACATGACTCCTTAGCAGTTTCAGTCAGGCACTTCAATTCCGCTTTATGCTGAAACCAATCTCATAATCTGCACAGACTGAATGAAAATTCTGATGAAAAAGACACGTAACCTACTTCAAGTAATACTTACATCATCATTCGGCAGTTTTTGGGTGTAAACAGTTTCGTAAAGGCGAACTTGAATATTTCTTGCATTCACTAAAGCTCTGTAGTATGTACAACCTGCTAACTTGATATCTGGTTGAGGATGCAGAGGAATATTGACAGCAGGTGTCCGTCTGCCACTGTTCTTACAGAAATCGCAAGTGAACTCCTAAGTGTATTTAAAAAACGTCCAAAGTGAAAATGCATCATTTTAGGTCCCGAATTATAAAAAAAAATTCTATGTGAAAAAAAATTCTATAATGAAACAAATACAACGTGGAGAAAACACTTACAACATTCTCATCTGAACCTTTGGTAAAGTAAACACAGTCATCATGTAGCCAAAAATGACATTTGTCACACTGTATCATCGATCCGTCATCATCAGTGATGCCACAAATGCATCTAACGCAGTCCGAATCAGCTTCTGCAGAAGTAAGATTAGACGTGTCGTCTGGGTCATACGACCCAACAGGAACCTGAAATCAAATAAAGTTCAGATGTGAACTCTAATCGTTAAAAAAGTGTTGACGCTCAACAACAAGGCTTCAAGGTTACTGTCCCACCCCGTACTGAAGTAAAATCAAATAATAGGGACTAAGTCAAAGCGAAACAGTCTGACATAAAAACAAATGATTGATCCTTACCTCTCCATCAAGGTATGACAAATCTGTAGTAGCTGTAAGGATCCGATGAGCAGGTAACTTCTTCTTGTTTGTGACCGACTTATCACCAAAAGACTGTGGCAACGAGCCGAGTTTCTTCAACCGGTAAAAATAGCTTGACTTTACGGCAGAAATCTTTGTCCTTAAAATTTCCACTTTCTTCTTATCTGAGTGTTTTACAACCATATTGAAGGCATTTTGAAGTTCATTCTCCACCGCTTTTAAAATGAACTCCTGTTTTTCCCTAGGAGACTGTATGAATAGCGAATTTGTCGAAGCTTGAACTGCTGCTATTTGTCTCTTTGACATCGTCCCGAAGGATGACAAAACACCCAAAACTTCATTGCAATAACCACGTATAACCAACAGATGCTCAGCATTTCCTGTCTTCTGTCGCTCCTTACTACACTTTGCACCTGAAATAACCTGTTGTAATTTTTTGCACCTTGGCTAATTTGAATGACGTTTAAGAAGAATATAACTCCCTATACCAGAATATCGTCTGCAAGACTTACAAAGAGCAAAGAAGAAGCAGAACTACTAAAAAATAAAATATCAAAGACTATGCAGCAGTAATAAACAAGGCATTTTTTAAATATATCTGCTCTCCATCATCTCTGAATTCAGTAACACCTCACCAAAAAATCTCTTTTCTTTTTTGGAAACAGGTTCTATCAAACAACGGCTGCCATCGTGACTCATATTTTTTGATGAATAAATTCCAGCTTCCTCGGTATTCCAGGCACATTTACTGCTATCTAGTAACAATTCCTCGCCTTTCAAAATCTTCTTCGTCGCAAACACGCCAACCCTTGGAAAACCATCCACGTACCTTGAATTGACTGGTGAAGACTGAAGGCCTCGATTTCATTATTAAGTTACTTCCCTATTTGCCAAAGGAGCATTTAGGTAGGCTTAAAACCACGATACAACTAGTCCCTACTAGAACCTAAAACCAATAAACTCATTTTAAACTGTCTGGTAACATAAACAATAAGCAATATTAGGCTGGCGAATAACCTCCGCTACCTGAAAAGCCCCTAGGAATCTATTTTCTGGCTACTTTAAAAAACTCTTCCCGACAGCAAAAACTTAGTTTTCAAGCTAATTCAGCCTTGAAATAATAAAAAAGACGAAAAAGAATTTCAAATCGCTATTTCAAAAAATAAACAAATAAATAAAAGAAAAAAAGTAACAGTGAACTTGTAAACATACCACTGTTGTATTTCGCAATTTGGGGATGAAGAAGAATTAATAAACCTTGCAATGCTGCCTTTCCGATATGCGTCAATTACAAAATTTTTATCCAATTCGACAGCGAAACAGCTCGTTGATCTTTCATACAACTTGCTACGTCTAGCAAACGTATCTGCTGACACAATTTCCCCATTGAATTCGCAAATAAACTTAAAACAAACATTGTAACTTAAGTGTGTCTAAAAAAATTACGATTCAAAAGAATGAACTGTATTTAGAACAAGTTATATGGCAACTACGAAGCACTGACTTGTCCCTCCTCAACTTGCTCCCAAGTTCGCACTCCTAAACCACCACCAGTAAGATTTTCGCACTTTTCTAGTCCATTGATACATTCACGTCTTGAAATCCTCTTATTCGAACAATACTTTCCTCTAGGACAAAGAGTTGTACACTCTACACGCCTCATCCTGAATTCTTATAATCAACTGATCACATCTGCAGTCCCTTGAAGACCGATAACTTGAAAAACTTGAACATCAACATACCTATTCACACATCGGTCACCAAAACCGCAACAGCCACTCTTACAAGAACAAGCTTCTTGCCCATCTCTTGGATACATGTCGACAAAAATATCTTAAAACATATGACATTCTTTCAATTACTCAGCAGAAAAATTCATTTAAAAAAAAAACAATTTCAAACATACTGTTTTTTATTAATTTGTGCGACTCCAAATGTCCACAAGAATTTGAAGTAACCGCTGGCGCATTGCTGAAATGGTAAGATCTACCGCCAAAATTACGAACAAAATGTGGGCCAAAGTTTCTCTAGCTCACGCCACTTACAACAAATATTCTTACCTTACACACGACGATGAGTTTTTAAAAGAAGCTCTTTTGTGATGCTTTTTCATTAACTGTGTCTTCTGAGAGTTCACACCAACAAATTTTTCGCGCGCAAGTTTTTCCTGGCAACTCCTCTCGGCAATTCTGCAATAAAAAAGAACCTAAATCTCCAAAAAAAAAAAAAAAAAAAAAAAAAAAAAAAA